CCTCCGTGTGACAGCCCAGCCCCAAACGGCGGCAAAGCCAGGCACAGGCCGGGCTCCCCCTCTGCTGTAACCATTCGAGGGTCAGTTGTTAGAAAGTGGAGGGGAGAGGCTGCCATTCCTGAATGTTTTTGTTTTGTTTTTTTAAATCATGAAATCCCTAGTTATATTTTACCTCTTAGATAAAATCGCTGAGAATTTTCCAGTGTTTTGCAAACACTCTTTTTATTTTTGTTTTCCTCCTTTACAGTTGAGTGTGGTTCGCCCGTCGAGCCTTCAGCGGAGGTTCAAACCTCACTCCCTGCCTTCGTCACATCCAGTGGTTTCCATCTTAGTCGCAACTAGATCACTTTTAAGAGAACCCCCTGCTTACTACTAATATTGGCACTTTCGGTTTTTCCCATTTTCCACTCGTTTTTATAAGTGATGGGGCAAGCCAATATATTAGTAGATAAATTGCACAAATAAAAGCAAGTATGCAGGCATAGCTGAGCCACTGCCCGCCCTCAGCCACCCAGCCAGCAGGGAGTGCCCTCTTAGGGCGTGCACCTTTGTGGCTAACGTGCTAACCACGGCCTCGGCGGGTGGTTTGAGTCATCAGTGTGTGATGTGTGAAGAGGTTGCTACCTGCCTCTGTGGGTACTGACCTGTCCCCCTTCTCTCAGCCACCAGAGTGGAGACAGAAGCCTGTAGGGGAGAGGGTTAGCAGGTGTTTGACAACGGCCCTGCCATACATAGACTGTTACAGGCAGCCCTGCTTATGGAATGCCTGTGTCCCTGGCAAGGTGAGAGTTGCATTTTTGTAAGTCACATCTCTAATACGTAAGAGATCCCTGGAAACAATCCATTTTACAAAGAACCGTATCTCACTGATGTTGTCAGTAACTTCATACTGTCGCGTATCAGTTCGGTTTTCTTGAAGTGAGTATCTGCCGAGACAAAGCTACTCATGCTCTGAAGACAGAGGGGGCAGTATTGCTGGGATAAAATCACTCAGAATCGTCAGGAAAAGATAGGCGCTTGCAGGGGCATTTAATTACAATAGTGCCATCCAGTTAAGGATTTTGCAGGTGAAAGAAATGGTGTCCAGTTTGGGTCCTAAAACATGGCACGTGGTCGTTTTGATTTGGGTTTCCTTGGCCAGCAGACGAGGCCTCGCCCATGGCCAGGGCGCACTGTCCTCCTGCCCGGTCCCCTCTCCTGTGTTCTGACCGGGCCGCGTGCAGTGACCCTCGCTGGAGCCTGGTGGCCAGCTCAGAGGTCAGCCTGTTGAGCGGAATAGTTGGAATTCCTGAGCAGAGCTGTGCCTTGATTTTGTTTGTTTAAGCATGCGTTGCCGAGTCTTCAGGCTGGCTTATTCCCGAATATGGTATCCTTCCATCCTGTGGCTGCTGACACCCAGATGCAGCCCAGCCTCAGGGGTCCTGCGGGATGCGGCCCAGAATACTCAGTCTCGGCAGGAAAAGGACAACACGGGTCCTGTTGTTCACTGGCGTCACTGGACCGTGAGCGCTGGTAAGACTGTGTGTGCAGAGCGGGATCCCCGCAGGCCTGCGGAAGCGCTGAGCCTCTCCCTGCCGGGCTTCATCCCCTCGAAAGGAAGTTCATGGCTAAAAGCACAGAAGACAGCCTGTGTGGGAAGAGAACGGGACCCAGCCCCGTCGCCGGGCCTGGGGGCGCTCTCGTGTCAGCTGCTCCAGCTTCTGGCTTCTCTGGCGCCTCCGGAAAGCACTGAGCCCTATTTTTAGAGCCGGCCTGTCTCGGGGGGGATGTGCTGCTGCTGCAGAAATTCAGTAGCAGCTGCAGCAGACATTCTGATTTAAAGGACCCATTTATAATGCGGACGAAGCTTGGTTACCAAATGAAAGAGGATGGAGTGTTCCGGTGGATCAGCTGCTTCAGACCTCATCTCCTGGAAGCCCTGAGTTTATTCCTTCTCCTGGGGGCTGTGTACATGCCGCCCTGTCCCTGCCCATAGCGTGTGTGTGTGTTTGCTCCTGTGTTGCTTGTCACGCTCAGCTGCCGGTGGAGGAGAGGGAAGAGGAGGGCCTCCCTAACTGGAGGAAGGGTGCAAAGAGCAGCAGGTCCAGGAAGTGTGGCTCACAGCCCGGATCTTCATCCCACTCGCCACTCTCAGGGGGCATGTTCAGATCCGTCCAGATAATGTATATAAAGGTGCCCCGGGGTTTAGGAATCATTAACGTTAGCATGATGGCGGCGCCATGTGCTGGGCATGCCCTGGGCAGCAGGCCACGACCCTCTAGTGTGGACGCTCAGTGCAGACAGGATCGCTTTGGCCACTGGTTTTCAAACGTTTTGGATATGGGAACCTCCCACCTCCAGCCCAATGCAGGAGTCTATACAACTGATACAAATTCTGTTCTGTTCATGGCATTTATCTTTTCAAGTTAGATGTAAAGTCAGCGACAACGAGCCTGTGTACACAGATAGGAACGGCCCCACCGCGGGAGCAGCAGTGGCTCACGCTTTGTGTCCACGTTGCATTCTGGTGGCACCGTCCAGAGAAAATCCGTCATAACACACGGCAGCTGTTGTTGAGAGGGACTCTCCTGTATCGTAAGAAATCCTTAGGGCAGACAGGTGGAAGCATTAGTAAGATGGCTGATGACAAGCCCCTCCTGTCGCACATCCCCCGTGTGGGGCTCTGGGATGGAAACAGCTCGGGGGCCTGTGGGGCAGGTGCGGGTGCCTCTCTGTGACACGTGAAGAGGTGGCGTCACAGGCCCAGTGCCCTGCGACCCGCAGGAAGGTCTGTGGAGACATCTTTGTTCCTTGGAGGAACTGCTCTCTGTCGTGGATCAGGCCCAGACGTCCAGTTTATATCCTGTTGTGTGTGTGGCTCCCAGGGCTTCACGCTGCTGAGCTAAATAGGTAAGTCCGCCTGTGCTGAGAGGGGTTCTGAGGAGGACGTCGGGCCGAGCCGTGCGTGTGGCAGGCTGCGGTCCTCAGTACTTGGCTGCCCGGGTCTTAGGTGCAAGAGAGCAGGACACCAGGAGAGCCGGACGCAGACCAGGGGCTCGCACGGAGCCGGGCCCACCCCTGGGCCTCTCCCGGGACCGCCGCAGCCGTGCCCAGTGTCACCCCAGGTGTGAACAGCCACCCTGTGTCTGTGCTGCTGTGCTTTGTTTCTTGGAATCGATGTTTAGTTTGTGAAACGGACCCCTTGTGTTGCATTTAGCGGCATAGTGTTTATTGTCCTTGCTTGGCCATTCCACTAGTTATGATGCCTCCTACGGTTGACGGCCCACTGGGTTGCTTCCAGCGTGAGCCCGTTGCACGCGCGTCTCACTTCACTCCGCGGGCACCCACCCCCGGGCACGTGTCTACAAGGTGCAGGGTTGCTGGGTGGTAGCGTGTGTGCACCTTCAGCTTCACTCAGTGGTGTCGGTGGGTCCCCCCGTCCTCAGTCCCGCAGCGGCATGTGAGCGTCCCCACTGTCCCACATGCGTGTCTCACGATTACGAAGAAGGTGGGCACTTTCCCCGTAAGCTCATTGGCATTCGGATGGACTTCACCTTTGCGAGCGCCTGTTTCTGTATCGCCCCGTCTGCACACCGAGAGGCCGTACTGGTTAGTAGGAGCGCGCGATCTGTTCTGAAAGCTGGAATTTGTTAGCATGAGGCTGTGTCTAAACACAGAGCGTCCCAGCAGGCAGCAGGAATAGACCGGGCATCACGCGCGACCTCTCCTTCCTCCTCTGCGTCATAGAGGTTCCCTGCCGAGGTGTCTCCGCCCTTCGTCCTCAGTCCCTTCCTGTCCCCTTTCCCACTAAAAGCTTCTCGTCTGGCCTGGCACTGTCCCCAGAACCTATGTCTTTTCCTCTAAGACAGCGGTTCTCAACCTTCCTAACGCCGCGACCCTTTAATACAGTTCCTCATGTTGTGGTGACCCCCAATTTCATTGTTACAAATTGAACATAATTAAAGCATAGTGATTAATCACAAAAACAATATGTAATTATATATGTGTTTTCCGATGGTCTTAGGCGACCTCTGTGAAAGGGTCGTTCGACCCCCAAAGGGGTCGAGACCCACAGGTTGAGAACCGCTGCTCTAGACAGTGATTCACATGACAGGGCAGAGGCCCCCCTTTTCGCTAAGCCCCTCTTTTTGGCACCCCTCCCATTAAGAATCAGGACTTGGGGTGGGAGCACAGTCACTGACGTGAGGGTGTTGGTGAACCTTTGCTCCATCGTCTCTTTCCATTCAGGCCATTCTTATCCTGGCTGCTCCCACAGCACCCCGCTACCAGCTGGCCGCTCACCCCTCTGGATCACCCTGGACTCCTTGCCGAGCCCCCGGGGCCTCTGTAATCTGACTTCCCTTTCGGGATGTTCTTCATCTCCAATCGTGACTTGCTACGGAGGTTCTACGTTCTGCAAAGGCAGGAATGAGGATGCGCTCTTGGCCGCCTCAGTCATTCTTGTTGGATGAAATGCATGCCTTTAGAGTAAAAGGCCACATTGGCCAGTAATACTGATCTCTGTGTTTGTGAGGCACTATTGCCTGGTTATTTCTTGCTGTAAGAAATCAACAATGTAGCAAAAACTTAGTGACTCCTGAGTCTGCAGATGGTGGCTCGGCCCTGCTCACAGGTGTAGGAAGGCTCGGCCCGGGGATCCATTTCCAGGATGGCCCACACGGTCGGCTGTGTGCTGAGAGCTCCCCCGGGGCTGCCGGCCAGACCTGGGCTGCGGTTCTCCTCCCTGTGGGCCTCCCCGCGGGCAGCATGGGCTTCCCCACCGCTGGCATCTGGGTCCCGAGAATGAGTGTCCCGAGGACGCAGAAGCCGCTCGTCTCCAGGACCTGGGCCCAGACGCAGCCTCAATCTCGCTGTGCTGTTGGTCTCAGAGCGCACCCAGGTTCAGGGGCCGGGGCACGGATACGCAGCCCCCTTCCTCTCCGTGGCAGGAGAGTCAGAGAATGGGTGGCACCGTTGACCACCACGTCCTAACAGTGTCCCTCCCCTGTGACTTCCCTCAGCCCTGACGGCCGCTGCAGGACGCGGGAAGCTGGAGGTCTGCGAGCTGCTGCTGGAGCGCGGAGCGGCCGTGTCCCAGGCCAACAGGAGAGGCGTCCCGCCGCTGTTCTGTGCAGCACGCCAAGGGCACTGGCAGGTACCCCGTGGGCCCCGAATGCTTCGGGAACGGTGGATGGGGACAGAGCTCACTCTCGCCCGTCGCTCCCCAGCCCCGTGTGGTCAGTGCCCTTGCTTCTGCTGGTGCTGTCTGTACCACCTGCCAATAAAGGTGTGCATGTGACAGGCCGCACAGGCAGCCGGGTGGGCGGTGGCCAGGAGCAAGGCTGATCACCAGGTCAGAGACCACAGTGGCTTCCTGATACCTGGGCTGGGGCAATGGAGTGGGTGTCCCCCATTATAACAGAAGACTTGCTGTGATGTGTCTGTTGTTGGTGTGATTGTTCGCCCATTTGTCCAACATCCCGGAGGAAGGATGGTTCTCTCGTGCTCTCTGGAAAAGCACCGCTCCCTTTGGCCAGCACTGCGGGTCAGCCTGGTTTCTGTCACTGTGTGTGAGTGGCTCACTGTCCTTCAGTCATGGAACATGGGGCCCTTGAGAACAGCGTTCGGTCATCTGTTCCTTCATTTTGTCAGCAGTGGCCACGTACCTACCCCATGCCCGGCACCAGGTTACACACAAGCAACAAACAGATAAATGCACCTTGCCATGTTCATTAGAGGGAGAATTTTCTAGACCCAAGTTTGCATCATGGTATTGCATCTCTCCCGATTCCTGCCAGTTCTGTTGGTAGGAGCTGTGAATGCCCCCCACCAATATTTCGGCTTTTCTCCTTTTATTTCCCGGGGCTTGGTGTGTAGCATGCATTCCCTGGGACCCCTGCATGATGCCCTGGCTAATCCTCTCTCCTGGTCTGTTTCCTACGTCATGGGGAAGTTTGGAAAGCATTTGTTGGTGTATCAAGAACAAGAGAGCATGGGAGTGTGCCCCCTTCTCCCGTGGCGACCAAATGAATATGCAGAGAGAGACTGGACTGCCCCTGTGTGAAGCCATTCCCTCCTGGGTAGTAGTTGTGTGAGATGCTTCTCTGGTTTCCTGGTTTTGCTCCCCAACCTCATCACGTGCACTGAAAGGCATGGTCCCAGCCCTAGCCGGTTTTGCTCAGTGGATAGAGCGTCGGTCTATGGACTGAAGGGTCCCGGGTTCAGTTCTGGTCAAGGGCACATGCCCAGGTCCCCAGTTGGAGACGATTCTCTCTCATCATTGATGTTTCTGTCTCTCTCTTCCTCTCCCTTCCTCTCTGAAATCAATAAAAAGATATATTTTTAAAATATATTAAAAAACATTTTTAAAGGCATGGTCCCAAGGGAGACTCTCCTGCAGGCAGCTCTGCTGAAAAGGCCCGCTGTGAACATCACACCGCCCACCAGGCTGAGTCTCAGAAGAGCAGATTGCATGGGTGTGGTGGGTGGAGGTTTCCCTGCACCCCATCTCTGCACCCACCTCTCTGCCTTTCGCCCTTTACTGCAGGAGTGTCGCTTCAGCCCCTTTAGTTCTGCTCAGTTATCCCACAAGCCCCGCTGGCTGTGTGGTCAGTCCTTGATTGTGATTGGCACCAGGTCCTGTGCTTGCATGGTTTTAAATGTCTACATCTGGAAGGAGAGTTTGTTCAAAGGAAGACAATAGAAAATTGCTACAGGCCACACGGGTTACACAATTTAGTGGGGCTTTTAAAGGAAGAGAGTCCTTTTGCAACTTTGAAAGGTGGACAGTCCTGCCTGGGGATAGAGGACAGGGTATAAAATAGAGCAGGGGGCCGTAACTTGGTGTGTTTATTTCAGATCGTGAGATTGCTGTTGGAACGCGGCTGCGACGTGAACCTAAGCGACAAGCAGGGCCGGACACCCCTCATGGTGGCCGCATGCGAAGGGCACTTGAGCACCGTGGAATTTCTCCTTTCAAAAGGTAGCGGCACTGTCTGCCCCTCATGGGTGTCTATTGGATGGACAAAGAAAAGAGCTTTGGCGGACTCGTTCAGTACTTCCTGATTCTAAGTTTAAGTCTTTCTGTTACCGAAATGTTCTAACTGAACAAGTGGAGAGAATAGGTAATGAAGCTGCATACCCATCACTCAGCTTCAGCGTGATAATCGGGTCCCCGAGTCAGCTTCTGGCCTCACAGCACCTGCATCTGGGCTTTGTCTTGAGGAGTTCACAGTCTATGATTGGGCTTTTTTCTTTCAGGTGCCGCCCTTTCTTCTCTGGACAAAGAGGGTTTGTCAGCATTAAGCTGGGCTTGTCTGAAAGGTCACAGGGCTGTGGTCCAGTTCCTGGTTGAGGAAGGAGCCGAGATAGACCAGATGGACAAGAATGGCCGCACCCCCCTGGACCTGGCAGCCTTCTACGGCGACGCAGAGACCGTAGGTACCGCCGGTGGTCACATTGCTCGCCTGCCCTGCATGCAGGGCTAGTGCCACAGAGAAACCAGGACCTGAACCATATGTGTGTGTGTGTGTGTGTGTGGTTAGTGTGTGTGAGTGTGTGTGTGTGAGCATGTGTGTGTGAGTGTGTGTGTGTTGTATTATAGGATATTTTTGTTTTTATTTAATTGTGTGACAGTCTATTCCAGAATGTAGTAAAGATTTGAATAGACTCTGAAAGGCTTAAAACTACATGGTGACAAGCTGTATGTACAATGGATACACATACACACACACGCATGTGTAGTTTAATTTTCTTATAGTAACCCGTATAAATAGAATTCTTATATAGATCCTTTAAAAATCACTTCTATGTATATGAGAAATTGCTAATCAAATAATTAGCTGGTTTGTTTTTAAAGCCAATATGGCGTTGCCTAGAATGCTTTGGGCGCTATCTTTATCTCTTGACTGATGCTTAAGCCTAATTGAGATCTAGGGGATAAAACCTTAATAAACTAAGAGCTGAAAACTGTTTTTCAGGGTAGAAACCATGTCTTTGTCAGGAATCACATCTCTGGTCCCAGCAGGCACTAGAGAACTTCTCTGTTCTCTGTCAACTTTATTTCCATCCTAGGATCCCTAAGGGCCAGAGGCACCGACAGTCAGCTCCTCTAGAGTTATCACTTTTGAGTATTTAATATGCCCGGTGTCAGGGTTACCTGGAGAGACAGGGTTACGTTGCTAGAAGCTGTGGACCTTGGGACAAACGCCATTGTCGCCTGCACATCTGGGCCTGATGCTTTTAAAAGGCAGTGACATCAGCGTTAAATGGTCTCTGTGTCCCGAGCACTGTAAACTGTACTTAATACTGACTTTCAGAAATAGCTCTTTCACTGAGCCTCACCGATTACACTTTCACTTTTTATCTCGTACTGCCTTACCAAATCCTGCAGCTTACCAACAACAGGGAACAGTGAAGGAGTGTAGCATTCTAGTACCTTTTTTAAAACTGTGATGAGCAAAATAACGTAAAATGTGCCACCGGAGCCATTTCTAAGAGAAGAGTTCTGTGTGTGAACTATACTCACCCTGCTGTGCAGCCGATGTCTAGACATTCTTACCTTGCAAAACTGAAACTCCCTCCCCATTAAACAACTCTTCCTCACTCCTCTCTGCCCTGGGAGCCCCATTCCACATCCTGTCTCCCTGCGTGGGGCTGCTCGAGGTACCTCGTGAGTGGAATCTACAGCATTTGTCCTTTCCTGCCAGGCTTATTCCACTTCGCATAATGGCATAATGTCTTCGAGGTTTATCCATGTTGTAGCACGTGACAGGGTTTTCTTCCTTTTTAAGGCTGAATAAACAGTCCGTTGTGTATATGTACATGTTCTTTACCCAGTCATCTACCTATGGGCACGTAGGTTTTCTCCACCTCTTGGCAGTTGTGAATAGTGCTGTTATGAACATGGACATGCAAGTATGTCTTTGAGATCCTACAAATTCTTTGAGATCTATGCATATTCTTTTGGGTATAGGCCCAGACGTGGGATTGCTGGATCTAATGGTGATTCTATTTTTAATTTTTTGAAGAACCTCCCTACTGTGTCCAGAGTGGCTGCACCATTTTCCATTCCCACCCACAAAGCACAGGGTTCCTATTTCTCCACATCCTCACCCACACTTACTGTTCACTGTTTTATTCGTTGTTTTTATGGTAGCCATGCTAACAATGTGAGGCTGTACACCCTAATTGTGGTTTTGATTATTTGCATTTCTGTAATGATTAGTGATGTTGAACATCTTTTCATATGCATATTGGCCATTTGTATATCATCTTTGGTAAAACATCTGTTCAGACCCTTTGCCCATTTTTAAGTTGGGTTATTTGGGATTTTGTTGTTGACTTGTAGGTGTTCTTTATATATTCTGGATGTATATCCTCTGTTGTCATTTAGAACAGCAGGTGGACAGATAGGGTGTATCTATCAGATCCACATGAAACTGGCTACCGTCTTCTTATTCAGTAAGTGGAGCCATTTGAGTAGCCAAAGTGGTTTCCTCCTGTTGTTCTCTATTTAGTCCAAGTGACAACTATTTTATCACATCAAACTGGTTGTTGTACCGGGGTCTCCAACTTGCCGTCTTTGTAGTCCCAATATTCAGGTCTCACTCCTAAGCCTTGAAGTGAGTTATAATCGGGTCCCTCTGATCCCAAGCTGCTCATCCATCCAGCCTGTTCCCCACTATGTGGGTCTGGGTGTCTCTGACGTGCCCGTGGCCGGAGCCTCCAGCATGTTGGAGCTGCTGCACGGGGCCTCCTAAGGGATTGGGGCCTTGTCTCATCTCTGTGGCCCGGGAGGGGGTGAGACAGACACATGGTGACGTGTGCATGTACCGGCCTATGGTATGTGAGTGTGTGTACACACATGTCCCTCCCGGGGAGCCTCACTGCTGATTTCAAATTCACTTTAACAGAGCGGGTTCTAGGTATGGCTGCCACTGCTCTTCTCTGTTCTCTGTCAACTTTATTTCCATCCTAGGATCCCTAAGGGCCAGAGGCACGGACGATCAGGAGACGCTCCTAAGCCAGCCGCTGCAGGTGGCCTAGGGACAGCGCCCCTGCCAGGAGCCGCCCCTCATGCCTCTGTCCCCCTGCAGGTGCTGTACCTAGTGGACAAGGGCGCTGTGATCGAGCACGTGGACCACAGCGGGATGCGTCCCTTGGACAGAGCCATTGGTTGTCGAAACACATCAGTAGTGGTCACGCTGCTGAGAAAAGGAGCCAAATTAGGTCAGTAAATGCCTCCGTTCAGCAGTGAGAGGAAGGGTGACCTGCTCCCAGGGTTAGCTGTCAGGTGTTTGGCCCTGGCCAGCATGGGTCAGTGGTTAGAGCATCAGCCTGAGTACCGAAGCGTCCCAGGTTCGATTCCCAGTCGAGACAGGGCCAAGAGCATGAGTGGTGGGAAGAGGGCAGAGGGATACCGCTGAGGCATCTAGAGTGGAGGCTGCAGAGGAGCGCACACGGACGCTAGAACATACACCTTCACCGCCAGTGGTCACGGGCACGGCTGGAAATGGAGGCGATTACTATGCAGCCTTGTTTATTTTTACCCCATGCCCATCGGAAGGGAGGGATGGGTCGTGGCTGCTCTGCTGCACTAGTTTCCCAGTGCTTTCTCGCCAGAATAACAGTTTGTGCCCAGTACAGTTCCCCTCCCAAGGGCTTACTTAGTTCAGCGGCAGGTCAGCAGGGGTCCTGTCCCAGTCCCAGGGTGTGCTGCCATCTGGAGGCCGAGGCACACCAGCAGTGGTCCCTGCCGCGGGGTCCCTGCCACGGGTTCCCACCATGTGTGAGCGCAGCTGGGCTGGGCCCCGGAAGATCTGCACCCCTTTCCTCCAAGGCCGCGGAGGCGCCTCTCACTGCATGTTTATTTTGCAGGAAATGCTGCGTGGGCGATGGCTACCTCCAAACCTGATATTTTGATTATACTTTTACAGAAATTGATGGAGGAAGGAAACATGTTGTACAAAGTAAGTGGTGCTGCCCTTTTCTGCGGCGTTGCCATGGCCCGCGAGCAGCCTCTTAGTTTGGTGCGTAATGGACGTGGCTGTGTGGCTGCACCGGGTCCACGTAGCGTGGCTCCCATAGACGTTCCGAGAGAGGCCCCTGGCCTCCTGCCCAGGCTTTCATATCCTGACGGCAGAGGCTTCAAGGTAGAAAGCACTTCTGTGTGAGAGCCGTCATCTCTGAATGAGTCCCTGTGGCTGTAACCGTGGCCCGAAGCCTTGGTGTGAGGGCAGCGTGGCTCCTGATTTAACTGGCACGTCCTACAGGAGACTCCTCAGGGCACGGAGCCGGGAGATGCCAGAGAGGAGCACCCAGGAGACATTTTCGGAAGAGAGCAAGCCCTGCTTCTCTTATTTTAGTGTCTTAAGCTTCTAGAGCAGCGGTTCTCAACCTGTGGGTCGCGACCCCTTTGGCGGTCGAACGACCCTTTCACAGGGGTCGCCTAAGACCATCCTGCATATCAGTATTTACATTACGATTCATAACAGTAGCAACATTAAAGTTATGAAGTAGCAACGAAAATAATTTTATGGTTGGGTCACAACATGAGGAACTGTATTTAAAGGGCCAGAAGGTTGAGAACCACTGTTCTAGAGTGTGAAACTGTTTCTAGAGATGTTTTCACCTAAGATGTTAAGTAATATATAACACTGAACGAAGTGTTTCCCATTTCCCCTTAGAAATGGAAATATGACTTACACATGAATAAATTTGACGTTAAAGTGAGTTTTCTAAAGTAAGACACCAGATTAGATCAAAAGCAAACTTTGGGAAGGGCCAGATAGTAACGATGGGAGGCTTTGCTCTTCGGTCTGTGTCACACCCAGCTTCGGTGCTGTGTGGCCGAGGCAGCCACAGATGATACGGAAGTGAAGTAGCGTGGCTGCATCCCAGTCACACTGTGTTGGTGAAAATCGGCAGCGAGCCACCTTTGACCCGCAAGCTGTGTTTTGCCAACCCCTGGGTTAGTTAGATGCTTAGGCCACTTACATAGATCACTCTTCTTTCCTCCTCTGTGATTAGGTAGAATTAAAAGATCCTAAAAACAAAAACCTAGATTATGACCATTTTAATCCTTTTTACCAGGAGACGACAGCACTTGCAACGTTTTTAGTTTTTCCCCTTTCAGAATAATAACAAATAAATAGGCATGTCGTATGACCCAGCAGGGTTCCTGTCCTGGAAATCAGTTTGAAATTGAGTTCAGAGTGTGTACTGTTGCGGCTCTGAAGTGGTTTTAATGTGAATTTTGGTCGGCAATTATGTTAGAATACCAAGCCGTTTTCAGCAGGCCGCACACCTGCTGCGCGGAACCGGCTGAGCATAGGAGATGGATTTCTTGAGCCTTGAAAATGACGCCTGGTGCTGTTCTGATTTTTAAAACCCATGCTTTCGTTCCTCTCAAAAGAAAAGATTATTATTCTACAGCAAGACTCTACTTGCCTTAGGAACCGCATTGTGTTTTCACTTGATTTCTGTTACGCTTAGCATTGAAATATCTCTATGAGATATAAAATGAGAGACATTCACAGAAAGGTTCTCAAAAATATATAGCAGAAGATAATGTGCTGCGTTAAGATTGTTGGTTATCAGTTTGGCAGTTTACGGACGCCTTCCTGTGAAACCGGCTTCTGTCTCGCCTTGTGAAGCGCAGAGCCTAGCGGGCGGCGAAGCCACGTGTGTTCACGCTGGTTAGCGTCCGACTCTGGTTGTGGCGCTTTCTCTTCAGGACCCCTTTCAGCGTGCCGGCGTGGTTTCGGCAGTGGGGGGAGAATAACCGCTGTAGGGTGTGGGAGCTTACCCATCTTGGAGCCTCTGGTACAGGATGACTGTCTGTGATGCTTGGATCCTAGAAAGGGAAGATGAAGGAGGCAGCCCAGCGGTACCAGTATGCCTTACGGAAGTTCCCCCGAGAAGGATTCGGAGAGGACATGAGGCCATTCAATGAACTAAGAGTTTCTCTCTATCTCAATTTGTCTCGCTGCCGAAGAAAAACAAATGTAAGCTGTGCCCCTCGTTCCAATCCTTTAGCAATAGCCTGTTGTTGTAATGGGGAAGGCCAGCCCTTCCATAGACCCGGTCATGGGACCCCCACCTGAGCTGCGTGCACATTGCTGCGAACCTGGCATATGGCCCGCTGCTCCTCTTGGATGACCGTCCTTTGATCGGTCTCACTGCCCACCTCTCACGGTGCTGACAGTGCACCTGGGTGTAGTTTCCTCTGCTTCAGTGCAAACTGCTCCTCCAGCCATCCCTCCCAGCCGCAGGGGCCAGCACAGTCAGAGTGGCCCATCCCAGATTCAAATGGTAAAGTCCAACTCAACTGGATTGCAACCTGCCTGGAGCTTACTATGCTTGCTAAGAAGTTATGCCAGTAACTGCTTAAATCCTAACAGATAGTAGCTAACTCAGTTAATTTGTAACTCATAGCTAGTAGATTTGTTTTAGTACTTCTCTCTTCTACTTCCTTTTTAACTTCACCCTCCCACCACCAAATCTGTTGACCTGTCTGCTTCTGGGCCCGCTGTTCTGCCTTCCGTCCTGTTAGCGTGGATGATGCTCCCGGACCCCCTGTGGGCTGACCCTCCCGTGTGTGCTGGGTCCATCTGCTCCCGCCTTCTGGTGCACTGCTTCTACCGGTTCTCTCTCCCGAATCATCTATTTTCGCTTCTCTACGGGATCCTCCTAAGAATATTAATACACTTTACCTATCTCCTAACTTCAAAAACTAAACAGAAAAACAAACGCGCCTTGCCCTTCATCTCTCTCCAGTTAAGTCCCAATTCTCTGTTAACCTTTAGAGCAGTTCTCAACCTGTGGGTCGCGACCCCTTTGGCGATCGACCCTTTCACACGGGTCGCCTAAGACCATCCTGCATATCAGATATTTACATTACGATTCATAACAGTAGCAACATTACAGTTATGAAATAGCAACGAAAATAATTTTATGGTTGGGTCACAACATGAGGAACTGTATTTAAAGGGCCAGAAGGTTGAGAACCACTGGGTTAGAGCAAAACTCCTGTTAAACAGTTGTCTGTAATCATGTTTCAATGCTTCTTTTGACTCGTCTATTTAAATATCGACACCAGGACTTTGGCATGGCAGAAGAATTTGCTTCCAAGGCGCTCGAACTGAAACCAAAGTCCTATGAAGCCTTTTATGCCAGGGCGAGAGCGAAGAGAAACAGCAGGTACTGTCTGGGGTTAGATGCGTGACTAGAGAAGCCTTCTTGTGCTTCTGGTGTCAGAGCTGCTGTTGACTTGGGGGCTTCTGGCTCATAAGCCGTCCTGTGGGGCCTCTCATCCCTTTTCATACTGAAGGGGTAGCTTCCAAGAGGCACCGGAGTAGATATTAGCAATGGCTAAGCTTTTCTTTTCTCCTGACGCCTGAAGGACTATTCCTTCCTTCCACCCCAGCTGACACTGCAACATGAAGGTCCTAGGTGCGTTGTATTATCACAAGTAAAACTGCCCACTAGAGACATCAAGTGTGTGGGGGGGGGGGGGGGAGGGGGAGGGGGGAGGAGAAGGGGGCAGGAGTCCTAGGACTTTTGAGTAAGAGGAGGTGTGGTGAGAGGTGAAGGGGGAAGATCACTTTAAGAGGATTCTGACGGCCACTGACTTAAGCCTGTTCTCATTCCCAGCCCAGTGGTCTTTATAGAGGCAGCCGGCTCCGAGCCACACGGATCTGGCTTGCAATTAGCAGCCCCACTGAGCTGAGTGACTCTAAGCTAGTTCCATGGGTCCTGTCTACCAGTGAGGGTTCACACCTCTCATAGCCGAGCTGGGTTAGGAGCAGCTGCATTCAGAGCATGTGTTTGCGCGGCGTGTGATGGTACCTTCTCTTTCACATGAAGGCAGTTCGCGGCCGCTCTGGCGGACCTGCGGGAGGCTGTGAAGCTCTGCCCCACCAACCAGGAGATCAGGAGGCTCCTGGCCCGCGTGGAGGAGGAGTGCAAGCAGCTCCAGAGGAGCCAGCAGCAAAAGCAGCAGGGCCCACCGCCCGCCCCGCCCACGGACTCGGATAACGAAGAGGAGGCCCCAGCCCCGGCGCCCGGCGACCACCTTCACCTTGAGGAGGCTGCAGAGGACACTTCTCCGCAGGAAGGCTCCGTTTCCCTGACTCCCCGGCCCCACCCCTCTGCCCCGTCCCCCTACATCCGGAACCTTCAAGAAGGGTTGCAGGCCAAGATGAGGCCCGCCTCGCCACAGAACCGGCCAGGAGCCGCCCAGCCCCCGAGGGAGCCCGTGGCGCAGCCGGGGCTGGTCGTGCAGCCCACCAAGCAGGCGCAGATCGTGAAGACCAGCCAGCACCTGGGCTGCGGGCAGGCTGGCGTGAGGAGCGGGAGCATGAGACTGCAGGGCTCCTCCGCGCACCCTCCGCCGAGCCCCATGCCAGGCCGGATCTCCGTGGCCACCGCTGGCGGCCGAGGCCCGCACTCGGAGGGCGCGGGCACGTTCACCGCAGGGGCGGGTCCGGGGCGGTTCGGGGAGCGGCCCGGCCCGGGCCACGGCGTCCCGCTGCAGCCCAGCGAGGGTGGCGCTGCATACCCTCTGCCCAGCAAGATCAGAAGCGCAGAGCGGCTGCTGTCTCACGCCGCCGTGGCCGTGGACGTGGCCCCGCTGAGCCAGGGCGGGCCAGTGGGCGGCAGCGACATGCGGCACCCCGCTTCCCTCGCCAGCTCGGGCTCCTCCGGGTCTCCCTCCAGCAGCATCAAGATGTCCAGTTCAACCAGCAGCTTGACGTCCAGCAGCAGTTTTTCCGACGGCTTCAAGGGCCCGGGGCCAGAGGCTCGAGTCAAAGACAAGGCGGTTCACCAGGTCCCGAGCGGCACCGCCGAGCACAGACCGCGCAACACTCCGTTCATGGGCATCATGGATAAGACGGCCCGGTTCCAGCAGCAGAGCAACCCTCCGGGCCGCACCTGGCACGCGGCCGTGTCGGAGGGGCTGCTGACGCACACGCCTGCGGCCGGCCCGCAGGCCTCGAACCCGGAGAAGCCCTCCCTCAAGCAGGCAGCGGGGTATCACAGCCAAGCCAAAGCCTGTGCCGCGGCCACCCTGGGGGGCAGCATCCACAACGGGGCCCCCGTGAAGGAGCTGGAAGACAGGAAGTGCCCGGTTCCAGCCCACTGTCAAGATACCAGGATAAGCAAGACTGTGGCTCATCTGTACCAGGAAAGCATCTCTAAACAGCAGCCTCACCTCGGCAACGAAGCCCACAGGAGTCACCTTCCCGCAGCCAAGCCAAAGCGCTCATTCATAGAGTCAAATGTGTGAGCCTGAAGAGAGACCCGCTGGGAACTTGAAAAACTGTGTGTTGGCTCTTGGTGGTAATTAAAGTGTTTTTTTTATGAGAAAAATTACTTTTCAGCCATATTTTTTTTCTTTTTTCCCTTGGGGGTGGATCAGATTTATTTAAAATGTGGGATAAAGTTTCTTTGATAAATACCAGAAGTCACCTTCAGTAAGAATGCTAACCAGAATTGAAAACTGCAATTAGTTATGCCTATTAAAATTAAACACTTAAGGCAGCCAAATAACTTGTGCTTTTCTCTTATGAAATTGTTTGGTTTTTATCACTCTTCTCCTAGCCTTAGCTGTGTGATAAGATCATAATATTTCTTAGAGAATATAAATGTCTAGTCCTCTGCTCTATGGGAAAAATCATACTGTTTCTTCGAGAATATAAATGTCTAGTGATAGTTTTAACTCATGACTAAATTGCCAGATGATGTATTCTGGAAAAGATGGAATTTTCTAGTTACAGTTCCATTGAGTCAAATCCCAGTTTATATATCTATATATAAAATTAAGACCCCAGTGATTTCTAGCTGAATGTGTGTGACTATAAATGTTATATACCTGATTTTCTTAAGCAAAATACAGGAACAGCCAAGTATTGTTCCCTTCATAGCTGTTCCCTGAAGAGGATTAAGCACTTATTTCTGTTATGGTTTTCATTAAACATATTTTTATGGCACCTTTTTTGAGCTATATTCCCATTTCAAGGTGTTTTAATATTTGGAAACAGTGTAAGCTATTTGGAATCCTGATTGGTGGTCAAGTTGGATTGGGGCTAGAATACTAAGAATATAGCATTCTCGGTGACATAAATTAGCCTTCAACAGGGATAGCACTCCTGCAACAAGCCTTCCGAGGTCCTTTAAGGACAATATTTAATTTGGATCCTTAAAGTCTGGTTCGTTGGTTGCTTTTGTTTTATTATACAATCATTATTTTATAGTCACATGTTGCATAAATAGCCAAGTGTATCCAGACATGTATATACTATTTCAAGTAGCTAATCTTTAAAAAAAAGTAAGTCATATATTTGCATGTTCTTTGTAAACGTCATCCATGCTGGTTATTGCACTGAACACTATATTATTATGGCATGTTAACAGTGTACCAGTAACGGCACTTTATTTCATTTATATGAACACCTTTGAGGTGCTACTTAAGTTCAAACTGATGTATTATTCGTTTGTAAAGATAAGGTACAGGAATGAACCTTGGATTAAAGGTATTTTTATATGAAAATGGTGTGCTATTGAAGGATGTTAAAATGCTAGTTTGAGAGAGGCGGGAGTGTGTTTGTTTTATACATTGGGATGTGAAATTTATTTTCTGGCATTGGGGAGAAGGAAGTTCTATATTTACAGAATGTTTTAAAAATGAATCGTCGTAATGAAGTTCCTGTGAGCATCCTTATGGTTTTGTACGAATAGGAATCTTCTGGTGTTATTCTTCAACATTTGTTCCTGTTGTATTTTGTACAGCTTTGTTGTTTTATAGGCTTTTCATGAGTTCTGCTATAACTTCTATGGCTTATTTATTGTTTTCTTTAATATTTGTGAGTCTTACTCTTTTGTTATGTAGTTTTGTTTCTGCACAACTACTGTACTTTTCCACATGGAATAAAGACTATTAATAGAATTTGTTTTGCATTACTTTAAGGCAACCATGGGTAAGTAGAAAATGTCCTGGTGACAACTATCTGCCTTGCTTTAATCCAGGGTGATCTTGTTACCCTAGAGCAGTGGTCGGCAAACCGTGGCTGGCGAGCCACATGCGGCTCTTTGGCCCCTTGCGTGTGGCTCTTCCACAACATACCACGTATGGGCGTGCATGTACAGTGCAATTGAAACTTCGTGGCCCATGCGCAGAAGTCGGTTTTTGGCCTGGGCGAGTCTATTTTGAAGAAGTGGAGTTAGAAGAAGTGAGGGGTGTCGGTGGGTCGGCGACGGGTGACGCGACACAGGCGGGCCGCGGGATACGCAGCACGGGGGAGGCGTACAAGATTCATGCACGAGTTGAAATGGAGAGTGAGTACGCAGATCTGCTCCTGCATAACAAGGTACGTTGGTTATCAAGAGGAAACGTTTTGAAACGTTTTGCTTCCTTATTAACAGAAATGAAAGCATTTCTCCTTGAGAAGGGTGTTCACTATCCAGAACTAAGGAACGATCAGTGGATCCAAAAATTTTATTTCATGGTAGACGTTACGTCTCATCTAAATCAGCTTAATTGTAAACTACAGGGGAGAGGAAACACAATTTTTTCGATGTTAGAAGAAATTATTTCATTCGAAAACAAATTATCTCCTTTTGCTCAAGATTTTGAAAGAGAAACTTCGATTCACTTTCCAAGCCTGTTGAAACATGGCCAAGAAAATAATTCTGATACTGACATTTGCTATTTCAAAACAACACTTTTAAATACGAGGGAAGCTTTTGTCAACAGGTTTCAGGAATTCAGAAACAGCAAAGCGACGTTAGCCTTTGTTAAAAAACCTCTCAATGCTACTGTAACAGAATTAAGTTTTTCTCCCTTTAATATTGACATTGGCAACTTTGAAATGCAATTGCTGGATTTAAAAAACAGAACTGTGGAGCTCGAAATTTGAACGTCTTTGTGCTGATATAGAAATATTGGAGAAAAACAAATGTGAACTTAGTTCACAGCACAAGTGGTCTGTTTTGAAAGACCTGGAGAAGGAAGATATGTTGATTTTAAAAACACCTGGAATAGTATTCCTGACTCATATAATCAACTGAAAAAAAACTAGCGTTTGCTGTTCTTTCCTTATTCGGATTTACATATTTATGCGAACAATCATTTTCAAGCATGAACCTCATCAAGAGTAAATTGAGAAGTCATCTTATTGATGAGAACCTGGAATCGTGCCTAAAATTAAAAACAACATACAAACCTGACTTACCCAAACTTTCCAAGGAGATGCAAGGCCATTGTTCACATTAGTGTTTGTCAGTCATTGCCATTATTAAATTTTATGGATATTGTAAGGTAAATTGTAAGGAATTTAATTTTATCAATAAATAATATCGTTATTAAGTATGATATCAAGTTTTATTCAACGTACCTATAGTTTAACTAAGACTTAAAACTTTAAAGTTTATTAACTTAATTCTAGGGAACGTTGTGGAGTGAAAGAAGATGTAGTGTCGAGGATTGAGAAAGGTATGTTGAGATGGTTTGGACATATAGAGAGGATGAACAAAAGGAGATAGACGAAACAAGTATATAAGACCAGTGTGGATGGGAGAGTTGGAAGGGGTCGACCTCAGCGAACGTACCTCAATCAGATTGAGGACATTTTTAGCAAAGGCCAGCTTAGGAGTACCCTAATTAAGTTAATAACAATGTACCTACCTATATAGTTTAAGTTTAAAAAATTTGGCTCTCAAAAGAAATTTCAATCGTTGTACTGTTGATATTTGGCTCTGTTGACTAATGAGTTTGCCAACCACTGCCCTAGAGAAATAGTGAAAAGCCTATTTTCATAGCAATACTACTAAATGCATATTTAATTTCATTTGGTCATAATTTTAAAATAAAGGTGTGATAGCTTCTAGAAATCCCCAAATATTCAAGGGTCAAAATTAGTCTTTTTGCCTGAAACAGGGAAGAAAGCATGAAGAAGAGCATTCTGGAATTTTCTTACCTGTTCTTGGTGTGTTTTTACTGCCAACAGGATATCTTTAGTACTGTAACTCTCAAACATCTGGGCAAAATGAACACTATTAATGTAAAAGTTTGTTCTTCAGCACATTTGTATTCTTTTTCAGTTATAAGTGTATATTTGTCTATACACACATATTTCCGTTCAAACTAATATGAGAGTGAACATTAAACTGTGTGGTTCTGTAACAAAATCCTGACATAAGCCTAAGTATTCCCTAATAGTACTGCACGTTATTGTCTGGTTACAGCTATTACAAAAAGGCTAAATATAGTATTTTAAGTCCTTCTTTCAAGGTATATATTTAAACTAAAGGTTAAAAACTGGGTGGGAGGAAAAAGTGTTGATTAATAGATAATTCTTGTTGATGACTTGTGTGAAGCTGCTAGTGTGACTATTAGAATTTATTACATATGACATTATGATTTTGATATATTCTTAGGAAAACTAAGACATTTGGTTCAGTCACACCAGAAGAGGCAAAGTCTCCTTGGGAAGCTACAGGTCAGTCCTGAGGCCTGGGCAGCGGGCAGGTGAGTGCTGCTCCATGGTCCTGAGCGAGGGGTGGGGCCTGCCTGGAGAGGACAGCAGAGGGTTCATGTGGTGTCCCTTCCTATGGGCCGTGTGGATTTGGTTTGTTTAGTTGTTTGTATGTTTGTGGGGAGGGGGAGTTGTTTGGCTTTTGTTTATGTGTAAGTACTTCATTTGGGAAATTATTGGCATCCTGGTTTTTTTTTAGCCAGTTTAACAAGAAACTATACTGGTGAAATGTAGAAAAGACAGACAGTCATCTCTAACATTTAAAAAATAACCAAACTTTTATTGTTTTTCTATAAAAGACTTTGATGATTTTTAGTAATTTTTATACAAAAACCAGATTTCCTCCTTTGGAAAATAATATCAAAACAAAAGATATCTGGTCCAATGGTAGGCTCTCTCAATTAAAAAAAATCATTAAAATCATGTTAGCATCCTTTCTCTTTTAGAACATGTTCCCATCCTTTTTTTATCCTCTTAAGAATGTGAGAAGCATGTGTAATACGAAAAAAAGCCCCACAAACACTTATAGCTATGACACACACAAAAATTCAGCAATACATTATTAGGATGACAGAAATTGTACAAAGCAGCAATTATAGAGAAAAGGCATTTGGAGATTTCTGTGGTAGCTAGGCTTTCTACCTTTTTTTTAAAAAAAAATGTTTTTACTGATTTCAGAGAAAGGGAGAGGATCAAGAGATAGACACATGAGAATCACTGACCAGCTGCCCCCTACTGGGGACCGAGCCCACAACCCAGGCATGTGCCCTAATCACAGAATCAAACTGTGACCTCCAGGTTCATGGGCAGATGCTCAACCACTGAGCCATACTGGTCGGGCAGCTTTCTATCATTTTGTGAACACACAGCTTATTAGCTACAAGTTTTTAAGATGTAGGAAAAGACTGACTAAAATATATACAGTAATTACATTGCTTATCCCCTTTTATTTCAAAGTTTTGAACAATTACAAGGATTTTGGGGGTAAACATATAGATTCTGGGTCCCTGCTTGCCCTTATAGTTTAGTTCTAACAAGCTTTGCCATTAGGTGTGTAAAGGCAATACCACCCCAACATACTGAACTTAAAGTTTTCTTCTAAGTGAACACCTACCTACCAGGGCATTGTATTAAATATCAGTCTACTGTGTAAAAACATAAAGTCAAAGTAAAACTTTATTCTTTAGAGCAGCGGTTCTTAACCTGTGGGTCATGACCCCTTTGGCAGTCGAACGACCCTTTCACAGGGGTCGCCTAAGACCAACCTGCATATTAGATATTTACATTACGATTCATAAGAGTAGCAACATTACAGTTATGAAGTAGCAATGAAAATAATTTTATGGTTGGGTCACATGAGGAACTGTATTTAAAGGGCCAGAAGGTTGAGAACCACTGATCTAGAGGTTAAGATTTTTTTCACTGTATAAAAAGGCTTTTATAGTAAAAACTAGAGGCCTGGTGCATGAAAATTCATGCACTGGAGGAGGGGTCCCTCAGCCTGGCCTTCCCCCTCTCACAGTCCGGGAGCCCTCAGGGGCGGGAGGCGATCAGGTGAAGGCGATGCCCCCATCACACCTCTGCTGCTGCCACTGCCGGCAGTGCAAGCCTTGGCCGGCCCTGGGCGCCTGGGCAGCTGCCATCCAAGGCTTGCCTGTGCCTCGGCCGGCCCTGGGCGGCTGGGCAGCTGCCATCCAAGGCTTGCCTGCGCCTCGGGCCGGCTCTGGGCGGCTGGGGGGCTGAGGGTGGGTCTGGCTGTACCGTGCACCTGCCAACCCCCCCACCCCCACCAGTGGGGCTGAAAGGACTGGGGGACTCCAGTGAAGCTGAGGGATTGGGCACTGCCATCTTGTGGCTATGGGCGCCGCCATCTTTGTGATGGTGTGATGGTCAATTTGCATATTTCTTCTTTATTAGATAGGATAGAATAGAAAAGAGGTTAGATGTGTTATTTAGTCCATATATTTTAAAGAATTAAGATACTAAATAATTTTTGTAGGTAACTAAATTTAAGACGTTTACCTTTCTCCCATCTTGCTTTTAATAATGTCCAATTAGTATTTACCTTTAAATCATTCAAATGAGATCACTGATAAAATGTAAATAATACAATATAATAGAAATAATTTTATTTTTGGTGTGTCTCTAGCCATCGATTGATGGCCATTTTCAGAGTCCTATTTGGTGTAAGTACTGCTGAAGAAAGAACAAGATTTGTCATGGGACTTGTGCGTTTCTTTTTGCTGATCCAGTTTTCCATTGCTTCCTTTTCATATGAATAGCCATCTAAAACAAAACACATACACAAATTATTTGCAATGTAGAAAAAGGAAGTTAGGATCACTAAAATGAGTTGGATATAAAAAACTCCATTACCAAGGTCTTTGTTGTGATATATCACTACTGCCAAATATTTCTGCCACAGTACCCTAATTTCTACCATTTAAGATGCACTAAGATTGCACAAATCACCCTGAACAGTGTCAGTATTTTACTGATTCATTTTGAACACTACAACTGTCAAATTCAGATGTAGCGGAAAGGAAGAAAAGAGCCAGGCAGAGTATAGTGGTACTGAAGATACATAAGAACAGATACTGAGAGATTCTAAAACTCATCCCACTAAGTACTTGACAGTAAAGGTATGTATGATGCAAAAAATATTTCAGATCCACTGGCTAAAATTTTTAATGCCATGTTCTTGCAAAATTCTTTGCCTTTGCACATAAAAAGATTGGAGTTTTGGCTTCACTACACCTTTTTATACTGGTAACCCTTTCTCTTAAACTGAAAATATCAGTCCCTTAATTACATGTACAAAGTTACCTTTTTGCTTTAATCTACAACGCATACAACTGTTTCAAACGGACAATGTCTACATGTTACTGACAGAAGAGATCCAGTAGAGTTGTGTAATTGCAAAACTGTTTGAAAGTCATTTGAAAAAAACTTATGTTACCAACTTGACATATAATTTGATCCATTTCTTTCCCTTTTAATCCTCCCAATTTTTAGAGATTGATTTGGCTTTTATGATTGATTTTAACTCTGTACATTCAAGTGGTTTCTAAGTAAAAATTGTAAAACAAGGTACATTCAGAGGAGTCCTTTCTATGTCCTTTCTCTTACAGGTAACCATGTATATTAGTTTTTGTTTAGTTTTTCCTTTTGTTTCTTTTTTTGAAAATATAAGCAAATGTATGTGTACACACACAATTCATATGCATTCTTACATAAAAGCTAACATACTATATACTATTTTGTACCTGTTTGCTTTTTTATTTGACTACTAGAGGCCCAGTGCACGAAATTAGTGCACTGGTGGGGAAGGGTCCCTCAGCCTGGCCTGCACCCTCTCGCAGTTCAAGACCCTCAGGGAATGTCCGGGAGCCCTCGCTCCTTAACACCTGCCTGCTCGCTGCTCCTTAGCACTGCCGCAGAAGCAGGAGAGGCTCCCGCCACCACAGCTGCGCTCACCAGCCGTGAGCCCAGCTTCTGGCTGAGCGGTGCTCCCACTGTGGCAGCTCCTGCGTTGAGCGTCTGGCCCCTGGTGGTCAGTGCGCGTCGCAGTGACTGGTCATTCCACCATTCAGTTGATTTGCATATTAGGCTTTTATTATATAGGATATCTTGCTTGTTATCTCTTCCCCACAGTACTCTACTGTATGGATGTATTGGTGAACACCTGGGTTATTTAGAATCTTTGCCTTTTACAAATAGTGCTTCAGTGAACAATAATATCATTTTTGGGGAAATTCCAGAAGTAGAATTGCTGCACCAAAGGGTAAACATATATAATTTGCTATATGTGCCAATATTTCCATAGGAATTCTACCATTGTTTTTATTCCTACTAACAATGTTGATGAGAATTCCTTTTCCCCTGAGCTTCACCCAAGAGAATATGTGGTCAAACTGGATTTTTATCAGTCTCTAATGAGCAATGGTATAGTATCAGGTAGTTTTATTTTATTACACAGGAAATAGAACACTATCCATATGTTTAAGAACCATTTGCTTTTCCTTGTTCTATGAATTGACTTCTATTTTTGGCCCATTTTTCTATTAGGTTGCCTTTTTCTTAATTTAGGAAGTTTTTTTTTTTAAATTGAGATTTAACTGACATAATGTATTAGTTTCAAGTATACAATATAATGATTCTCTCTCTCTCTCTCTCTCTCTCTCTCTCTCTATATATATATATATATATATATATACACACAAACACACACACACACACACACACTCTGAGTGGCCAGATTATTATGACCACCTGATGTTTGTAGGCAAATTAGCTATAATTTCACGCTGAAATTGCTAGAGGGTCAGACCATTATAAATAGGGAAGCAGGTTGTTTACCACGACAGAAGTGATTTTTTTTCTGAAGATATGGGTAAACAATGTGATTTAACAGCCTTTGAACGTGGGATGGATATATATATATATGTGTATGTGTGTGTATATATATATATATCAAAATGATCATTACAAAAGGCCTAGTAAATGTCCATTACCACACAGTTACAAATTTTTCTTTTTTTTCTTGTGATGAGAAACTTTTAAGACCCACTCTCTTAGCAACTTTCTAATATACAATGCAGTATTAACTGTCCCCAGGACATACTGATTTTATAACTAGAAGTTTGTAGGTTTTGACTATCTTCACCCATTTTACCTACTCCTTTACCCACCCAACCCACCCCTGGCAACTAACAATCTGTTCTATGAGTTTGGTGTTTTGTTTTAGATTCCACATATAAGTGAGGTTTATATGGTGTTTGTCTTTCTCTGAATTATTTAGCTCAAGGTCCATCCATGATAACAAATGTCAGGATTTCCTTCCTTATGGTGGAATAATATTCCATTGTACATATATACATTTTTTTAACCATCCATTGATGGACACTGGACTGTTTACATGCCTTGGCTATCCTATATTATAAAGAGGTAATATGCAAATTGACCCTCACTCTGTCATGCTGTCCCAAGATGGCTGTGCCCACAGCGGAGGCAGGGTTCCCGTAACGAGCCTTAACAGGGACCTGAGGCTGCGTGGCACCAGGCCAGGGCGGGGGACCTCAGACCGCACCCCCCACCTGGCGGGGCTTGATGGGGGCCCTGAGGCTGAGCCCCCCACCTTGGTGGGGCTTGATGGGGGTGGGGCTGGCTGGGTCTGGATCTCGCACGATTTCAAGGCGCACGCAGGTGGGCAGGGACTTGACTCTGGGTCCCGTGGCATGCCCCAGACTCTGACAGGAGGAAGATTTTCATATACATTTTACTAATTTTCTTTCATCTCTGACACTTCTATTACAGAGAAAGGGCAAATAGCAATATTAAAATATTTCCTCTAATTCCCTTTTAATGTGCACAAATTTTGTGCACCGGACCACTAGTTGTAAATAATGTTACAATGAATGTCGAAGATGCAGATATCTTTTCAAGTTGGTGATTTATCCTTCAGATAATACCCAGAATTGGAATTGCTGAATCATATGGTAATTCTATTTTTTAATTTTTTGAGGAACCTCCATAGTATTTCCCATAGTGGTTGCACCAGTTTACATTCCCACCAACAGTGTACTAGGGTTCCTTTTTTTCTACCATTTCACCAACACTTCTTTTCCTTTTGATAACAGTAATTTCTGATGGTAGTGCACTGATGTCTCATGGTTTTGGTTTACATTTTAAACCCTGATTAGTGATTTTGAGCACCTGTTTGACCATCTGTATGTCTTGGAAAAAATGTCTATTTAGATCATCTGCCCATTTCTTAATTGGATTGTTTGGGGTTTTTTTTTGTTTTGTATTTTTGCTATTGCATGGTATGAGTTCTATATATATTTCAGGTATTAACCCTTATCAGATATATTTTATTTGCAAATATGTTCTCATTCAGGAGATAGCCTTTTCGTTTTATTGTTCGTTTCCTTTGATGTGCATCAACTTTTTAGTTTGATGCTGTCCCGCTTTATTTTTGCAGTTCTGCTGCCTTTAAAAAGTCATCCCCAAGGCCAATGTCAAGAACCTTACCACCTATGTTTTCTTCTAGTTTCTGTTTTCAGGTCTTATACTCAAGTCTCTAATTCATTTGAGTTGATTTTTTTAAAAATATATTTTATTGATTTTTTACAGAGAGGAAGGGAGAGTGATAGAAACATCGATGAGCCGAAACCGGTTTGGCTCAGTGGATAGAGCATCAGCCTACGGATTGAAAGGTCCCGGGTTCGATTCTGGTCAAGGGCATGTACCTGGGTTGCGGGCACATCCCCAGTAGGAGATGTGCAGGAGGCAGCTGATCGATGTTTCTCTCCCATCGATGTTTCTAACTATCTCTCTCCCTTCCTCTCTGTAAAAAATCAATAAAATATATTTTTTTAAAAAGAAAAAGAAAAAGAAACATCGATGAGAGAGAAACATCGATCAGTTGCCTCCTGCACACCTCCCACTGAGGATGTGCCTGCAACCAAGGTACATGCCCCTGACTGGAATCGAACCCGGGACCCTTCAGTCCGCAGGCCGACACTCTATGCACTGAGCCAAACCAGTTAGGGCCATTTGAGTTGATTTTTGTGTATGGGGTACAATAGTGGTCCAGTTTCAGTTTATGACATGTGGCTGTTTAGTTTTCCCAACACCATTTATTGAAGAGACTATCCTTTTCCTATTGCATGTTCCTGGTTCCTCTGTTATAAATTAATTGATTTTACATGTATGGTTTTATTTCTTGGCTTTCCATTCAGTTCTGTTGATTTATGTCTTTATGCCAATACCATACTGTTTTGATTACTATAGCTCTGCAATATAGTTTGAGATCAGGAATTGTAATACCTCCAGCTGTGTTCTTCTTTCTCAAGATTACTTCAGGTATTTGGGGTCTTTCATAGTTCTCAAATTGTAGGATTGTTTGATTTCATTGAAAAATACCATTGGAATTTTGATAGGGATTGCACTAAATTTATATATTGCTTTGGGCAGTATGGGCATTTTAATATTAATTCTTATCCATGAGCACAGAAAATCTTTCCATTTATTTTGTGTTTCTTCAGTTTCTTTCATCAATGTCTTATAATTTTGTATACAGGTTTTTCACCTCCCTGGTTAAATGAATTTTTAGGTATTTTATTCACTTAAATATGATTGTAAATGGGATTGCTTTAACTTTTTTGGTAGCCTGTAACTAGTATACAGAAATACAACTAAATTTTGTGTAGTTATTTTGTATTCTGGCCACTTTACTGAAAACGTTGATTAGTTGTTAACAGTTTTTTGGTGGAGTTTTTAGA